TCTCTCTCTTTCTCTTTCTGTCTTACTCTTTTTATTTTTTCTATACTTTTCTCGAAATAATTTAAACAGTTCTTAATAGTAATTAGCATAAGCTACATTTCTAAGAGCCAATCGAGTTTGGCTGTTAATTGATTTTAGCTCGATTTCATGTTAATTGTTTATTAGGACCACCTCGTTGGGCAGCCCATAAATGATTCCAATCGATCCAGTACAATGTGCTTTTGAACAAATAAGTGGAAAATAAGCTGAAATTAAAATTTCGTTAATTGTGGACGTATCAGTCAATCGATTGGGGCTGGTTTTGCACTGCACCCAACCTGCAAGTGATCTTGGAAAATATTTAGATAGCAGTTTTGCAGAATTATAGTCGCCCTATCATCGAACGTTGCAGACAAAAATTGAGAATGCTTTAGTTGTTTCTGCATTGTGCGCGTGTATGTCAACATCTTATGCCCATTTATCAGTTCGTATTTTCAATCCATCAAAGAATGTTTTTTTCATTTTTGGCTGTGCGTCCTTCAATTTTGAGGAATGACAAAATTGATCCGAAAATTGACAGGTTTTCAGGTATGTGTGCGAAACGCTTACGTAGATCTAGTTATTGCAAGGAAAAGCGAACGTCTCACAATTACGCCCCCAAATTTAATAAATGAGGAAAGCGAACTTTTCATAAATAAATTTTTTTTGAACTTCATTTGAAGTTGATAGCAAATTTCAACCGTAAAATATACATGAATAGGTTTCTCAATTATTTCGAAGTAATCCGCCTGAAGTTGGATGAATTGTCCAAAATAAAATTGTCAGTAGAAAGGAAAAAAGACGCTACCACAAAAAATTTTGTAAATTCATGCTTTCACTTCATTTATAAAATTTTACATATACTTTATATATACGGATTCGTATGTCGGTAGATATTTATTTATGCGAACACTGTTTGTCGCAACTAATCAAAAAATTATTCAATTTTCAGACTAAAACCTAATGGTTTGCTTTTTCCTTTAATTTACCTAATTTGCTTTCTTTTTCCTTTCCTTTGCTGCTGTTATTGTTGTTACTGTTACTGTATTGTTATTTTAATGTTCTGTTTGTTTTTCATCGTTTTTCTTTTTGCTTTCTTCTTCACTTTTTCTTTGACATAATTTCACCTCCACTTTAGGACATTGACACAGCATACTATAAGACCCCTCGTACATAGAACACTTAAATATGTATATATATTTATATAAACATATATATAAACATGTGCATACGTACTTTAGATGTTGGTATGACCTACTAAATTGAGAAATCCAAATCTGAAAGAACGAAAACATATTTCTATTTCTAGCGAAACATGCAAGTATTAACGGCGATATTGTTTGTGGCAATGTCTCTATTGTCGTAGACTTAATGGGCGATATCAACGATTGTTGGATTAATGCTGATGGTGGTGGTAGTGGTGGTGCTTGGTGGCAGCCATGCCCTAAATAAAATACGGCACAACTAATAGCAATCAACAGTAGACGTTAACGATAATATATACAAGAAGAAGAAGAAGAAAAAGAAAAAAGAAAACAAAAAACAAAAGAAATACAAACAGTAAATAATGTATGGTAAATATTGTCCTCCTCATACATAATACATACACGAATAAAAACGTATGTGTTTTTCTTTATCTTTATAAACTGAATTTTAGCAGAGAGAGAAAGAGTTTCCTTCTTTCTTTCCTCGTGTTTTGCCCCTTTCTATTTTACCTCTTTGTTGAGCAAACTTTTTCTTTACGATATCTTTGTAAACTAATTATGTTATTAGACTTGAAAGTAAAACTTCACTGTGCATGCAAGTGTCGTCAGGTCGATGTGTCTTTGACTATATATGTATAAATTCTTAATTGTTTCCACTTGGCTACTCTTCATATGTTCTATCGATCTATGATTCTATTTGATCTAAACTATCGAGAGAGAGAGAGAGAGAGAGAGAGAGAAATTTAATATCTGTTTGAAAATCTATTTCTTCTATCTTTTAACGCCATGAAAGAAGAAGAATTACCAGCTTTCTAGTAATATTCGACAAACAAATAAAGATTTTCGCACCCGAACTGGGAGTGATGTGTGTCACTCTTTTCGTAATTTCAACACATAGACGAATGATATACAGGCCGTTGAGTTCGTTCAGTTACTTGCCAATATTGTAATTGGTTTTCATTCGTAATTTTCATCTTCAATGCAATCGAAAGACGAACGGAGAGGGCTAATGGGTTAAGATTGTTAAGGGTTTTTAATGGGTTTCTTAGATATATATTTTCATTGGTTATAAACATTTGGCAAATTTCATCGATCTCTTGTGATGGATGCAAAAACACAAAATTTCATTACATTCCATCGGGTTTGGGATCTTATTACTTTTTCGTATAGCTGGTTGAAAGAAGAAGAAATATCTCTGATGATAGACAAAAACCACAGCTTATGCATTCACAGCCGCATGCGAATGTTGTGACTCACGACTACTCATAAGAATTTTTGGCTGCACTTTCCTTTGATATTCTTTCCACCATAGCGCATAACTCTGACTTACCCCGAAACAATTCTACAAAGCTATTAAGTTACGAAAGTCGCAATAAAGAACAAATTGCTGCTGACACTTTTGTGATGTGCGTGTGCGTGTGTGTCAGGATACTGCTGCTAATCGGACATGTCCAACGATATGCAAATGGACGCATAAGTTATGCCCAAAGATATTTAATATTCAATTGTCTTGTGAATTGACTGCGAAGCTGACTACGAAACGCTTTAGTTGAAGCCTTCTCTGTCGCGAAGAATGCACTTGACTTTCTGGTACAATAAGTTTCGATTAAAATTGTTATAACTAACGAACACAAACAACCGTTTACCGACGATATTGAACATTTGTTAAAACTAAGGCAGCCTTCATGGCTGCTATTCACAAATTTTACCTATAATGCCATTCATAGACTTATTCAAAACACTTCCTGATTTAGTTTATTCGGCAAACTTGACATTTTATAGTGTCACTTACTTCAACCCTGGCTGTTCCCTCAAATAGAGGGAAAGCTTAGTCAGTCTACTCCATTTATCTGTCGTCTAATTCATACGTTGGTTTTCGGCTCAATGCCAGCGATTGCGATCTTTTCTACATTCTCTGTTCCTTTCCCCCAGGCCTGGGTGACCTCGTGATGCCTTTGGCTACCTGTGAGGATGTTTAGTTCTGTTAAGTCGAAATAGCTATCGTTAATAAAAAAAACAATGAAATTAAAAATAAAAATTTGATGATAAATTATTCCCTTCAACATGTCCCAACAGGCAATAGACAAATCTTATCTTGGTCTGTTGACTGCATTTGTAAAAGCAATTCTCGTTTCCAATGAGAGGTATGAGAAGATTAATTGCAATTAAGAAGAGATTAGTTATAACTGTAATAACCTTGTTTAGGATTCTTTCTAGCATAGTTAAGAGGAGGATGTAAAAAATTGAAGCGAACTCCACGAATTTCAAAATAATTAAAGTTTAAAGTGTCGAGTTATTGTGTACTACTAGTCTTATATGTATGGAGCTACGTATTTTGAAAGTGATTCCCAACACTCTTGTTGCCAGATCGTGATATATGTAAAGACTGATTGTAGGTCACTCAATCTTCAGCGGCATTACTGATCAGTCAGTCGCATATTACGCCCTTGCAAGAATTTTTCCTTGAAGAGAACCGCCATTGAAACAGCTAACGTTGCGAGCATCGATGCCGACTCTATAGCTGAATATGGCATCAGTTACATTACAGCTGATCTACGCCTTTGTTTTTGAACTGTAGACCATATCTCAAAGCCATATTCCTTATGGAGGGAGGTAAGTGAGTGGAAGGTGAAGAAAATGGAAAAATTTGAAATGAACGAAACAATTGAAAATATGCTCCATCTTCTGCGCAGAAATGTTAGAAACCGATCTCTACGAAATAACATACATTTCGAGTTGCCACACTTGCATTGAAATTATATTTAAATTTAAATTTAACTCAAGTTGCGTGATCGAATTTCAAAGCAAGAAAACATTTTTCTTAAAAATTTTATTTTCATTTCTCAAAGCGTTCTCTTTGAAGTTACTGTGACCACAATTTCTACATTCTAGGTGTGAGCTCCCGACCGGTAATTTAAGTAACACATGTTGATATCACAAACTTGACTTTTGCAATGAGAAGAATGAGGTCTAAGCGAGTAACGGATCGGATGAATCCAGCGCGCACACACTAATCTGGACAGCCGGGCAGTAGTTACGGTTAAAACAACTCAGAATATTGGAACTACTGAACATGCTTGACGAAATCTCAGAAGTGGCGAGCTTCCACTTATTACGTTCGGAATTAATAAGCGATAGTTTATTTATCGCACTTTCGATTACTTCTTACGCAGAATTAGTTGGACATGTTTGGGGAACGACAAAACTAGTTTAGTCTCTTCGTAGGAGGGAATAATGCGAAAACTAGAAACTTGAATCATGTATTTCGGAATGCGAAGCTCATAAAATTATCCGCATCCATTTTCATTATCATTTGATATTTTTCTTCATTTGAATTTTGTTGTTATTTTTTTTTTCTTTTTTTTTTTTTTCTTGAAAAACTGTTTGTTTAGCTAAATTATCTTTTAAATTGTTTTCTTTGTCAATAACTTTGCTCAGGATATCCGGTTGCTTCCTTTTCCTTTTCCGTTTCCGTTTTCGTTTTCACTTTCATTTTTAGTTTTTGTTTTGTTATTAATTTTTTCACCCCTCTCGTCACATCTTCTTGATAATGAATGTTTTTATGTTTATTTTCTTTTCCTTACAATTTTTTGTTTTGTTTTTGTTTTATTATTATTATTATTATTATTATTATTATTATTATTATTATTTTTTTTTTTTACTTTATTTCATTTATATATACATTTAACATTTTTCAATGCAATACTTTATAGTCTTAGGAGACCCACACACTATACATTGTTTTGTTAAACTAATATTTATTCCGTTATTTCTGAGTTTCCGTTTGCGCTCTGCATTCCATTTCAATTCTAACGTTAGAATGTTCATAATTTTATCGTGTAGTCAATTTATACTCATTCTTAACCTAACTGCAACAGTTTGTCATGCTTGGCTGTTGGTTGTGTTTTGTTTGAAGCTGTAGCGTTAAGTAGGGAAATATGTTTAGTATTTTAAATGTTGCAGGTTGCATCGAACAAGCGCGGCTCGAACGGCCTAAGGATATTTCATTTTAAGTAAATTGTCTACAATTGTTTGATAAATTGAAAAAATCCTTTTTAATGAAATTTATAATTTTGCCCGAAACATTAAATCTCTATTTACTATGAGTCTAACGTTAACGATATTAGCATCTGCTTGATTGAAAGAACCAAATTAATTCCAATACTGTGATCGCATTAAGTCACCTACATATAACGTATTACACATAACGTATAAAACGTTAATGAATAGTAAGCAGTTCGTAAGAGTTGGATGAATAAAATTTGATGTATGACATATGATATCTTGAAAAGTTGAAGCATTCATATATATTAACATGATTGAATTAAGTTTTATTCAGATGTACTTTTTTTTCATATTATTATTCTATCCATTATCAAAGGATCGGGGATGTATCCACATTGTCATAATGTTTCCAACACAAGGTGCAGGGCAGGTGCAGTGTCGCTGCAAAGCATTTAAGCATAATTATCTGTCCGTCTGTGTAATGTGTGTGATAAGCGTTCTCCTGGTCGCAAAACCGAAGCTATCGGTTTCAAATTCAGCAGAGAATTACTACTACTGAAAATGGGGTAAATTGATCAGAGGCCACAACCACACCTCAACTTAACCTAAGGTTACTTTTGCTTTCAAAAATAAAAACAATTTCATTGTTATTCATCACTCATGAAGTACAGCAAATAAATCTGCAAAAATCTGAGCGCGTATTTTATGGGTGAGGCTGCAACATCTGCACTAAAATGGAAAAAATCGGCCACGCCTATGCAAGGTTATGAGGGATGATCAAATTTTTATCACTTTTATAATGTTTTCTGCTTATTGCCCATAAGGTGAACAAGACGGAATGTTGGAAACTTTTTCTCTACATTGAAGACGCATTGTCTGTCTAAAAATGTGTTCATTCTAAAATAAATAGTGTGGACGTGACAAAGTGGAGGATTCGTAGCGATATAATCGATTAGCTATCAAATGAAAGGACTTGGAGAGTAGAATGCCGCGAACTATGTGTGCTACTTTTTAAATAAATCATCGCGGAGGTCACAATGACATACGATGCATAACGGTAATGCGGATAAAAGATACAGTCGCGGCCGTATGTAAGTTTGTTACTTATTCGATTTTTCGTCTATTCTTCTTTTCACACATTTCCAATATATCTATTCCGAACGACAGCCAACACATATATATATATGTATATATATTCCTACGTACTACCATGTCTCCAATAGGTACTTATTGAGAGTTATATTGGGTAGCAAAGGCAGCTTATCTGCTATTCTTAAGCTCAAGCACAAATAGATAGAATAGATAGATAGATAGCGAGAGAGAGAAAGAGAGAGAGAGAGAGAGAGAGAGAGAGAGAGAGAGAGAGAGCAAAAATTGCACGTGGATTTGAAGGAAATCGAAGGCCATCTTTCAATAGGTGATATGTTGATCTAACAATCTTCGCTAAAACCATTTAATATTTTATAGAGACTTGTGAACCAAAAATAGACGTAAACTTAAGCGGGAGACAAGTTAATTTGAAAATCGAACATTTTTGCCTCCAACATGATGCTCTGCATTTAATGAAATGCATTAAATTTAGGAAATAATAAATTTTCAACACCAACTAAGACCATAAATGGCAAATGAACTAAACAGCAGTTGCAGCAGCAACCGAGTGCGGCTGTTAATGGCAAACACAAGCAAGACAAGACAAGATAAAGTTCCATTCCAACACGAACAGATGCTACCGAATGGGAAAAAGCGGAAACACTACCGCCACACTCCCTATACTCTTTAGATACGATGTCCTTTAATTACTATTTATTTCAATTGTTGCGAAAGAATTTGGCTAAGATATGTCTTCGGTGACAGCAGAAAAAGCCATTCCAACCAATCTACTCGAGGGATTGTCCCGAAATGAGGAAATAGCGGTGAAAAATTCTTTTTGCAAAATACTGTTCGTACTATTTTCAAAGTGGAAAGAAACAAGTAGGAAATGTTGTATTCGATTGTGACCGAATCTGTTACACCCATGACCGTAACCCTAGAAAAACGGTGAGTAACCAAATTTTCATGCTCTGTAATATTGAATGGGCGCAGCTGATTTCTCCTCTCTTCAGAATAAAAGTGGAGACTTGTATGGCGTATGTGTTGTAGTTCATGAGTAACAAGCAAAAAATACGGAAGTGGATAGCGTAAATCTTGCGACCAGGGTAATCTTTACATAGACGAACCGAGGGACACGTGCTTAAATCAATTCCTAATTCGATGCTAATCAAGAATATATATATATATATATATCCTTTGTGGAGGCTCTGAAGATTCCTGCTGCGCGTTACAAGCGTTTAAACGAAACGGTGATGGGTATAAAAAAGGACAAAAGCGATAGATACTAATTCAATTACCTAATATGCCAAGTAATGTTATCGACATATTTTGTGTAGCACACATCAGTGGTTTTTATCTCTTGTTTGTCGATTAAGACAATTATTGTATACATCATTTGTTGTTCTTTTTTTTTTTTATGTACACATACATTTGTAGGATATGATCATCACACATGCTATGGTCGAGTACACAAGTATTTCATTATGTTTTTTAAGCTTTTTTACTTAACAACAATTGTCAAGCAATTATACATTGCTTGAGTGAATGCATCGACTGAACGCTCAACGAGTCGGAATCTTTACATTTACACGTTGACTATCTAGCAATTCTAGCAATAAATAGGATAAGGATGCACTGCAGCAATGCTGCGTAACATACGCGTTGTACGCCGAAATACTTGGTCGAATATTTGTATAGCATGAAGAGTAATTTTTGGTAACCTTCGCCGGAAATAAGTGATACTAAGCTTTTATTAATTAAAATCAATTCATTAAATCTCTCCTCATATAATACTGTCTTCAAAAGTCATTGTTAGCAAATAATGATCTAAACTGAACGCATAGGAAACAATCGGACTTTTATTATATCTACCTATTGATCCATAGTAGTAATTTAAAAAAAAAAAAAAAAAAAATAAACGGTCGAGAAATTGGATCATATAGGCCTATTTTTTAGACCCCAACAAATACAGGGGCTATCATGAAAATCGGGCCCTTGATGACGGAAATTAAGAGAAATTTTTTGGACGTACATTAAGTTTGCTAAATTTGGATTACGCCATGAGTTGTTCTGCGCATCCTCGAATAAGCAGCCTTTCATGAGAAGTACACCTTTGCAGGAAAATAGTGCTTCAAAAGGAGCAAATGTAGCCGAAGTGGTGTAGAATATCTAATGATCGATCTTGCCCGACTATAATGTTCCTAATTGTATTTTTGTTTTTCCAGAACATATATATATATATATATATATATATATATGGTATTTAGTATTGCTGGGCAATTCACCCCATGGAAGAATATGCAAATTTATAACGTCTATCTAGTAACTATTAAAATTTATTACAAAAGTAATGAATCTCTTCAGGCTTCGTTTCAAACTGTCGCCCTTTAGAAAAACTTCTTTCAAATGGTAATGTTTGTGATGTCAAAAATCGGACCCGAGTCAAAAGCGTACTTTTACTGCTCAAAATAACGCTGCTCTCAAGCAAAGTGTAATTGGGGCCTATGTCCATTTGAAGACGAAAATCACAATGCAGTCTCACTTTTAATGAAGCAGGCTACAGGAGCTGGATGGACAGGATGGGTTTTTTGCTCGGACAATATATAGTTTCATTAAGAAGGTGCAACACTCAATACGACACGCATGAGAGGAAAGTTCAATATCCGTTAATATCTCAAAAAAACGATAAGAACTGGACAGATTGTAGCATGGGTTTAACGTGGGTTCCTACCATGATGGCTTTACCCCACGGTGGCCCAAGCCACTTTAAGCTTAATATACGCCCCCTGGCGACTTAGACAATCCCGACAGAGTAGGGGCCTAAGCAGCACCGGAGTCCAGAACAGTTTAATGCGCATGAATCCATAAAACCCACTCTGGTCAGTGCTGAGGCCTAGCTGCACTCGATTGTTCCACTTTGGCTTATATGAACTGGACATCAGGATCATGCGATATAACTTCACTGAACGTTTCTTTCTTCCGGGGGGTCATGTTAACTCATTGATTTATTCGAATAACCCAGAAGCTCTATGGGGGGAACCCAGCGCAGATATATGTGAAAAAGTGGCTTCAAATATGCATTTTTATAAAAACCCAAAGTTAGATCAGTTACATCAAACAATTTGTGAATAAGAGAACAATGTCACGAGCACATTGATGCCTTGCATACGTCTTATATAATATACTGGTTTGTCTTTATAGGTCTTATGTGACTCTCGTTTCTTTCGATATATAGCTCATATCATTCGATAAGTTCGTTAGATGGCTATTGATTGAACGATTTTTAGATAGCTGCACCCTTCAAACGAAATGCTTCAAAGTTTTATGGCACAGTGGCAATTAGTTTACCTTAAGTTACATTTATTTCAGTGACCACCTCTATATGTCGTCCTAAGATATTGATATATATATATATATATATATATATATATTGATACATATATATATTGATTCATTTATTTCCTTTTTATTTATTTATATAAACACATCTG